TCCCTCCTCCTCCTCCTCCTCCTGCCCCTCCTCCTCCTCCTCCTCCTCCTCCTCCTCCTCCTGCCCCTTCCCTCCCCTCTCGAGCCATGAGCGTTCCGAGACCTCGAGCCTCGAAGCTCGAACTCGAGCCTCTATCCTCCGCCCTGCGTCCTGCTCCTCCCCCTTCTCGGGAGGGTGGCGGGGGGCGTCGGCCCCCGCGCCTCGCCCGAGCCTCGAGGCCTTCGAGGCCTTCGAGACCCTGGAAACCCTCGAGTCTCGGCACCTCGAACCTCGACGCCCTCGAGCCTCGAGTATCGAAACCTCGAAGCCCTCGAAGCCCTCGAAACCTCGAGACACTCGAACCTCGAATCTCGGAACCTCGAAACCTCGGACGAGGGAAGATCGGCGCGGCCGCTGGTGGGGCAGGGCGCGCGTCGGACCCAAGACGGCCAGCCCGTACATGACCATGGCGATCTGCCGCAACGGAGGGGCAGTGACGCCCTCCCTTTTCCGCCCTCCCGAGGGGCTCGTCCGCCTCCGCCGCCTCTTCTTCTTTCCGGATTACTATAACCTGCATTCATACTATTACAACGTGTCGTACTAAAGGCCTTGGAAGTATCATTCGTCGTCTTCGTTTTCGTTTCGGGTTTGTTACCATCATCATCATCATCATCATCATCATCATCATCATCATCATCATCATCATCATCATCATCATCATCATCATCATCATCATCATCATCATCATCAACATCATCATCATCATCATCATCATCATCATCACCATCATCACCATCCTCACCATCATCATCCTCATCCTCATCCTCATCCTCATCATCATCCTCATCCTCATCCTCCTCATCATCATCATCATCATCATCATCATCATCAACATCATCATCACCAGTATGCTTCTTCTGCTTCTGATAATGATAAGTAGTATATGTACGTTCTACTGCCTCTTCCTCCTCCTCCGCCGCCTCCTCCTCCGCCTCCTAAGCTTCCGCCTCCTCGTCCGCCTCCTCCTCCTCCTCCCTCCTCCTCCTCCTCCTCCTCCTCTCCTCCTCCTCTCCTCCTCTTGCGCCTCCTCCTCCTCCTCCTCCTCCTCGCCTCCTAAGCCTCCGCCTCCTCCTCCGCACCTCCTCCGCCTCCTCCTCCTCCGCCTCCTCCTCCTCCTCTTCTTGCGCCTCCTCCTCCTCCTCCGTCTCATCTGCATCCGCCTCCTCCTCATGTTCTTCTTCGTATTATTCCTCTTCCCCCTCTTCCTCCTCATCCTCACATTCCCCTTAATATTCGTCTGACTCGTATTCTGATTCGTCGCTATAGGATTCGTGTTCGTAGTCATCGTATTATTATGGTCCGTTTCATTAGTCTATTACTAGTCGCATGAATCGGTTTGTTTTTAGTCGGTTTCTTCTGAGACGTATTCGTCGTAGTGTTCGTCGTGATATTCGTGTTCTTCTTAGTGTTCGTAGTATGTTTCGTGTTCTTCT